TTTCTAACAAGTTATTAGGTAATAATGATGGAGAAATCACTCTATGAAAGACAACCTCATTCTTCATTGCACTGAGTCAGTTCCAACTCATAGCCACCCTACATTGGATTTCTGAGGCTGTAAATCATCTAGGAGAACTCTAGACTTTCTCCCTTGAAATTTCTCATGGATTTAAACCATCAGAGAGGTGTGGTCTTTGGATTAGCAACAGAATCACCTATAAACTACACCAGCAGAGCACTCTTTTATTTTACTAGGGCACTGTAAAAGGAGCAAAGGGTCCATGTCAGAATGACCATATTTGACCTTTACCAACTTTACAAAAGGGAACTGTCCCTGTCAACAGTATCAATAACAAAAAACCAATTTCTGTGAGAGCAGACATGTTTCACATGCTCTTATAACCCTTTCTACTCATCTCAACACCAATCTTACTCCTTTGCCGGGTCAAAAATTCTATGCAATAGCTCACAGACCACACAGAACCATAGTGGAAAAGTAAAAAGTTTTAATCCAGGTTAGTAGCAGAGAATAGATGACTTTGAGCTGTGGTGCTAGAGAAGAGTATTGAATGGACTGCCAGCAGAACAAACAGGTTCATCCTAGAGAGGATGAAACCAGGCTACTCCTTAGAGGCAAGGATTCTGAGGCTTCATCTGACATATTTTAGGCATGTTGCAAGGAGGGAGCCTGTCCTTATAGAGGGACATAGTGCTTGTAAGGGTTGAGGGACAGAGAAAGAGAGGAAGACCACCGATGAAATGGATTGATTCAATGACTGGGGTAAGGAGGGTAGATGTGTCAGAAACTATTAGGTTGGCCCAGGATAGAGCAGGTTTTCAGGTTTCATAGAGTCGCTTTGAGTCACAAGCGACTTGACAGCACATAACAACAACAAGTAATAGAATACAGTCAGGACTGCTTCTGAAATGTACTTGCAGTCACCTGGGCCTTGTGCCTCACAGTTTTAGGCCAGTGTTGCCAAGTTCTCAGCCCAGCAAATTATGGCTCCTACATCCCCAGTTGTCCAACAATCTTGGGCAAAGGCTCTTAGCTCCAGTTCCAATGGTGTAGCAGTCCCAAGGTCCTATCTCATATCAGGTCTGTTTCTCTGCTGTGGCTGTAGGCTCTCTCGCTCTTTCCCTGGAGGTGAGGTTTCTTCTCCAGTGGTGGGGAGGTCTCATTCTCCTCCTGTTGATTTGCTTTATTTAATAATGAGACTAACCAATCCCCTTGTGGCTAGGCTAACACATGATATTTTCATACTCCTGCCCATCTACCTGGCAAAATCAAAGGATAGTAAGGAAAGTCATATTGAAAGATAAACTCCACAGGCTTATTCTTATAGAGGATGTTGCTAAGATTCTTAACCAGTCAACAAGTTGTTGCATGTGACATGGTGACAGGTCCACATACAATAGTAATAGGTGAATGTTTAAATGCCCAATGCATGTGTACAAATATATGTTCAGGGGAGTTGGGGGAGGGTGAAATCCCAGGTCTAATCTAAACTCCATAATAAATACAATTGTTCCCATATTAGTTAATGGGTTTCAACTGATGTTTTCATGAAGCCAGGTGTTTGGTTTGGGTTTTGTTGTGTTGTGTGTTGTGTGTTTTTGTGTGTTTTTCATATTCAAATAACTTCTGAGTAAGGTACTATAGTCTTTGTAAGGTTTTTTTGAATTCTGGAAAAGATGTGGAATAAGGGATATCATTGGTGACATTAGATGAATGTTGGTTGAAAGCAGAGAATGCATGAAAGACATTTATCTATGTTTTATTGACTTGTTGTTTGTTGTTGTTTAATGTCATTGAGTCGTAGATGACTCATAGCGACCCTATGAACGAACAGCCTGAGCACTGTTCGTACGCAGAGTTTCCAGAGGCAAGCCATTTTGGACGTGGATGCCGCTCCTGCAAAATAATTTGATTATGTGGTGCATAACAAATATTGGATAACTGTGCAAAGAATGGGAATTACAGAGCACTTTACAGAGACCATGACAGTCATTCAAACAGAATAAAGAGATACTACATGACTTAAAATCAGGGAAATTGTGCATCTGGGTTGTATCTTTCCGTATTTATTCAGTCTGTATGCTGAGCAAATAATCCAAGAAACTGGACTATAGGATGAGGAAAGAGGCATAGTATCAGAATTAGAGCTGTTGTTAGGTGCCATTGGTCAAGTCCAACTCATAGCGACCCTATGAACAGCCAACCTGAAGCTGTGCCGTCCTCAACATCTGACACACTAGAATCCATTGCTGAAGTTACTATGTCAATCCATCGCATTGTGGGTCTTCTTTTTTCTTTTTTTTGCTGACCCTCCATCTTTCCAAGCATGATGCTCCTTTCCAAGGATAGCCTCACCTAGCTACACGTCCAAAGTATGAAAGATGACGTTTCACTATCTTTGCCTCCAAGGAGCACTCTGGTTGCACTTTTGTCAACACATAACTCTTTGTTTTGTTGGTATTCCATGGGATATTTAGTACTCTTGTCCAACACCACAACTCAAAGGCATCAGTTCTCTTTTTTGCCATCCTTATTAATTATCCAGCTCTATTGCATTGCAGGTAATTAAAAAGACCATGGCTTGAGTCAGGCTCGAACTGATTAACTTTCAAGCAGATATTATAGCTTTTCACCATTTTGGAAAGGTCCCTGACATTGGACAACGCCATGTCTCCTGAGCAAGACTCATTAATAACCTGAGACATAAAATGACTTTGTTTATTGAAAGGGGATATGGTCCATCTATCTCAGAACCATTAGTAAATTTGGACAGAGGGACAAATACCATCTTTTGATTAGCAGCCCAACACTCTATGGAGTGTCCGTCAGTGTTCCTGGAGAAAGGTGTAGTGTATTGCCTGGCACTCTGACAACGAACGGTTCGAGGGAAATGGAAAGGTGTTTTACTTAGCCCACCTTTTAGGTTAAGAGGAACCAAAGGCCCATCTTTTAGGTTAATAGCATAAAGCATGTTGGGATTGGCATGTAGTCATTTAACTCGATATTATTCTAAACAAAGCCTCTTTTCCCCCTAAAAAAACAAAACAAAGACTAAACCACCAGCAAACCTAAAAGCCAAAAAGCAATGGTATCTCAGTCCACTCAGTGTTGCAAATTCCAAATCTATAACTATGTGGTTCTTAGTCTGTTCCTTATTTCAATCCCATATCCTGAACAATTGAGGGACTATGTGGAATTTAATTGTCCATAACATTGCAACCTAGATTTTCTCCCTCTTCACAAGCCTTTTCAGCATCTTCTTTTATCTAGGCAATCTTGTGTTTCAAGAACCCAACGTGGTTGTGTTTGCTTCAGAATATTTATAAAAATAATTCCCAATGCAGCGAGTTGTGGCCTGCTCATCTCAAGTTCTCTATGTCCTTAAAACCTAGAGGTTGGCTGCAAATATGCTTATTCAGCACCATCACACTAGCAGGCGGCACGGTAAAGAGCTCCTAGTACGCTTAATATCTTGACGGTCTCTGGAGAGAATTCCTATCACAAAACAAAACTGGACAAAGATACAAACAACCCCATTGAAAATTTCTAATGCCCTTGCCCTATCTTAAGTGCAAAGTCCAAGGTGGTTAAAGCAGACCTAAGTATTCTTTGTCCACATGAATCTCGCGGATGCCTAATTACTAGGATGCTGGGAAACGTGCGTCGCTGAGATTTGTGCCCCCCAAGGGAATAAACTGGCACCTCTCAAAATAAAGATCCGCAGCCAATGCGGCGCCTCGGCTCTGGGGATTGGCTGCCGCGGCCGTGATGTAGCGTGGGTGGGCCCGGCAGGTTTGCGACATTGGCCGCGGGTCCCGGCCAGGAGCGCGGCTGGAATCCGTAGGCTGGATCCGGGGCTGAGCGTCCGGTCTGCACCGGTGCTGCGGGTCTCTACCTGCCCCACGTGTCCTCGAGCCTCGGCACCCAGGTTCGACACTGTGCGGACAGGCGCCCAGGCACAGTGCGGCCAGGACTCCCAGGCGTGCAGGCGGCGCGGGACGCCGAGGTATGGCCTGCGGGCGCGGGACGTTTACGAGGAGGGTGGCGGATCGATGGCGGGCCCTGCCCATATTCTCTTCAGCTCCCTTTGCCCGGCTCCTGCCCCGGCATCGGCTAGATGTAACCAATGCGAGTTGCCAGGCGCGGGCACTGCAGCGACCCGAACCTGCAAGCGCTGTGGGAGTGGCCTGTGGAGCGCTGGCGTCCACTCCGGCCCACCTTACTTCTCCCGCCGCCCCCCCCCATTTGAGACTGGAAGGGGCGAGGGCTTTGGCAAGTGGCTTGCAATCACTTCGCCCACTGCAACTTTTCTTTTTTCCTGAGCATGAAGGTGTAGGTGCTCACTCTAGAAAACTTGGAAATTCGGGCGTGAAGGAGTCGGGGTAGTGGGGGGGTGGGGGTTGTGTGTGAGCCGCGGCCTCCGGGCGAGCGCAGCGTCGAGATTGGGGGAAGTGGGAGCTGCCGGCGCCCCGCCGGGACTCGGAAGGGGGAGCTGCCCGCATGGGGGCGCCCCGCCGGGACTCGGGGAAGGGGGAGCTGCCCGCGTGGGGGCGCCCCGCAGGGACTCGGGGAAGGGGGAGCTGCCGGCGCCCCGCAGGGACTCAGGGAAGGGGTAGATGCCCGTGTGGGGGCGCCCCGCCGGGACTCGGCCGCTCCCGGGCGAGCACCGCGCCGAGATTTGGGGAAGTGGGAGCTGCCCGCGCGGAGGCGCCCCGCGGGGACTCGGCCACGCGGCGCTTGTTTCCTTTTACTTCCTGCGGCAGCAGCTCAAGTTGCGGCGGCGAGCGGGGCGGGGGCGGAGCGGCCGCGGACCCCGGGACTGAGCCCACCTGCCGCCGCCAGCCGACTTCCGCCCGAGGCCTGGGGCCCCCAGCAAGAGTGCGCCGTGACTTGGCCTTTGGAGTCGTGGACCTGACACTTCGGGAGGTAATGCTGGCCCGGCTTTGAGTTGCTTTGGGAAAGAGTGAAGAAACCCCAAAATGGAGGACTTTTCTACCAGGACCTACGGCACCAGTATCCTGGACAACAGACCTCTGTTTGGAGAGATGTCTGCCAAGGTGAGCGGGAGCCCGGGGCCCCAGGCCAGGGTGTGTGTCTGACTGCCGTCCATCCCTTGTCCCTCCCGTAGACCCGGCTGCGCTTTCTGCAGCCCCGAAGGGATAGGAGAAAGCTCTGGTTCCTCAGCCTTGCACCTCCTCACTTTCTGTAGGACAAGGTTGGCCAAGTGCCGTGAAGGCCGCGTGGAGAAAGTTCACAACGTCCTGGGCTCTTGGGGCCCTTGGGTGGGGTGGGGGCGACGAAGGCCCTTTGGAAGAGGCATAGCCAACTTCTTGAGGGCTCTGGGTTCCTGCTTCAGGTGTGTGCCCAAGCCTTTCTTGAGAAATATTTGTTTACTTGGAGCTGTAAGTGTTTTCTGCTGAAGCAGTGAAACCGCAGAGGAAGGAAAGGGTGAAATGCAGGCGCTTGATGATGGAGCTCGTTCCAGGAAATGATTACAAAACCCAAATATTGTACTAGTGGGAAGACATTGGGGAAAAATACTCCTCAAAAAACCAAAAGCCCATCCCAAATACCAAACTAGGACTTTAAAGGCATCTTTTTAAAAAGTTTAGATATGTAATGATGCTTTGGGCCAAAACTGAACACTCTTTCCTGCCTTTTGCCTTAACTTTGTGAGTAGTCTGGGCAAGTTTATCCTGGTTTTCCACCTCGAAAATAGCATTCGTGAGCCTTGTCACCTGACAGTCCCTCCAGCCTCTCACAAATTAGGACGTAGAGGAGTCCAAAGCTGCTTGGATTTCTCTGCTTTGGCACTTAGAGCAGAAAGGGAACTTAGACCCCAGGCATTCTGAGACATAGCCTTGAATTTGGAAACTGCCAAATCTGCCATGAGACTTAAATTTCATGTGGATTTTTGTTTTCAGTTCTCAAGGATTTGGATAGGAAAATGTTTGAGGGCGTTTCTCCAGGAAGACGCACTTGTTTAGCTTATGGTTTTGCATAACCCTAGCCCCAGGGCACCTGCTTTGATAACTGTAGCTCTAGTTAAGTGTTCTTCTTAGGCACCATTGAGTTGGAACTGACTGACAGCTGACCCTCCAGCAGATGGGTGGGGAGGAGCTTGCCCATCTTTCTCCTGTAGAGCAGCTGGTGGATTCAAGCTACATGCCTTTGAGTTGGCAGCACAGCTCCTTAATACTTGTACAAATGTTGATCATAATATACTGGGTCCCAGGGATCCAAAGATCCCGTTCAGGTGGAGGAAATGGGATTGGTCCGATGACAGGGATATGGTAGAGAGAGCAGTGACTCGGGGAGCTTGGAGAAGACCTCAGCGGATGGCCTCACCATCCAGCGGTTCTCATAGTGTTGGCTTTCTGCTAGGAATTCCCTTTCACTGGGGCCCAGTGGAGATTTTTTGGGCCTGGGTCTTGGAGGCAGCTTACTGTTTGGAGTCGTTGACCCCAGGGCATCTGGCTGCCTAGTGTCTTGAGAGCTCAAACATTCAGTGTTTTCCCACACTCATTGGCTCGCAGATCAAGGTTGTAGATGATTCAGACTTCAAGCTTCCATTAACCTTGTAGCCGCTGGAGTACAGAGGCAGATGGCTTGATAATGGACTTGTAGATTTATGTAGCTCCTTAGAAATATTGATGTTTTCTGAATAGCTTGGGCCAAAATACGAAAACCCATCCAAGAGCTGGATTGTCCCAAATGTATTTATGCTTTATTGCATACTTGTTTAGACCAAGAATAGCACCAACACTACTTAGACAACTTTTGGATGTTTTCACAGTAGATTTAGCTATTCAGAAAAAATAGTGAAGAACGAGATTCTAGACCTCTAGCTTGCTCTCTCCAGTTCTCTTGGACTGACATGGTGCTTGGAGAGGGAAACTCCATAAAATGGAGAAAGGAGAGCCGCCTGCTCTGAGGCTTGCTGAATACAGGTGTTTGGAGTTTTTGTTTTGTTTTTAAATAAATTGAGGAGTGAAATCTGTAGGGATCGAGGCATCCTAATTTCTGGTTTTATTGACAGTGAGTAAAGATCTTCTTTGAGGGTTGAAGTGAGCAATGTGTTATCACAGTAATGAAAGGACACTGAGAAGCCCTTCTTTGGCTTCTCTCTGTCTGTGTTCCCATTTTGTCCTATTTATAAAGCCAGGAAATTAGACACAATAACCATGCTGCACTGGAAACAATATTGGTGAACTGCTATCCCTGAAGGGAAAAAATCTACTTCCTGCTAGAGTGTAACAAGTTTTTAGTTCTGTCCTCTTTAAAGCAACACAACTGAAGTCCAAAGAGTTACTATGAGTGTCAGTGAAGAATTAGGAGGGATGTTTGTGTTTCCTCATTGCCAGGCAACATGCTCCGTTTAACTTGCCCTTGTTTGGTCATTGGATTCCTTTATAATATGGATTCCTTTATAATATGGGTCATTTTCCTTTACAACTAAGGAAACTGAACCTCAAAAAGGCTGACTTTCTTGCAATTAGATAGTTAATTGTCTTCTGGTAATACCACGTCAAACACTTTTTATTAGTTAATGTGTATATATGTTGTTGTTGTTGTTTATGTGCCGTCGAGTCGCTTGCGACTCATAGCGACCCTATGTACAACAGCCCTAAACTCTGCTCTGTCCTGTGCCAATCACACTGTCTCTGACACTCCCATCCCAATTATCCCAGTCACTAAATCATTCCACCTCATAGAGGGCCTTCCTCTCCTGCACTGTCCCTTCACCCTCCCAAGCATGATGTCCCTCTCTAAGGACCGGTCTCTCCTCACAACATCCAAAGTATGTTAGACGGAGCCTCAGAATCCTCGCCTCCAAGGAGCCACCCGGTTTAACCCTTTCCAGGACAAATCTGTTTGTTTTCCTAGCAGTCCATGGTATTTTCAATACTCTTCTCCAGCACCACAGCTCAAAGGCATCAATTCTCCTTCTATCCTCCTTGGTCATTGTCCAACTCTCTGATGCATAACAAGTGATTGCAAAGACCACGGCCTGTATCAGATGCACCTTAGTCTCCAGAGAGACACCATTGCTCTTCAGTACTTTGGAGAGGTCCCTAACAGCAGACTTTCCCATGGCAATGCACCTTTTAATTTCCTGGCTGCTGGTGCCAAGACTGTTGACTGTGGAGCCAAGCAAACTAAAGCTGTGTACAATCTCAATCTCTTCACCATCCATCCTGATGCTGCCAATTGGTCCAGTGGTGAGAATCTTTGTCTTCTTGACATTGAGCCTCAATCCATATTGCAGGCTGCAGTCGTTGACCCTCTGCAGCAGGCGCTTCAGGTCCTCTTCAGTTTCAGCAAGCAGGGTTGTGTCATCCGCATAACGCAGATTGTTGATAAATCGCCCACCAATCTTGACCCCACATTTCTCCTCATAGAGCCCAGCCTCCTGGATAATCTGTTCTGCATATAGATTGAAGAGGTATGGAGATAGGATGCATCCCTGGCGTACGCCCTTCCCAATTTTGAACCATCCAGTATTCCCTTGCTCTGTTCTGACGACTGCCTCCTGGTCCAAGTATATAGACAGTTTAAACTCAATTGCGTCGGCTGACCCTCCAGTGGGTTTTGGAGGCTGTAGATTGCTAGGAGGAAATAGCCCGTCTTTCTTCTGGGTTATGGCTGGTAGATTCGAGCTGCCAGAGAGTCGTGGCCTCTGGGTTAGTAGTGCAGCTTTCTGTGGACTAGGCCACCCGAGTAATTTCATCTAGACTGCATGCCACAGAAGTTCAAAAAGTAGTCTGGATAATCACCTAACATTGATTGCCCTTTCACAGGAAATAGAGAACAAACAGGTCTATCCTGGAGAGGGTGAAATCTGTTTGCTCCTTGGAGGCAAGGATTTTGAAGCTCCATCTCACATACTTTGGGCATGTCACCAGGAGGGACTAGTCCTTAGAGAACATCATGCTCAGAGAGGTAGAAGGTCAGTGTAGGAGAGATTTGAAGGAGATGGATTGGTACAGTGACTTTGGCAAGCAGTGTGTGAAACAGGGAGTTACGCCCAGGATAGGGCAAGGTTCAGAGCTTTTTATTGGTCAGAGGGTTGCTGTGAGGAGTCATCAGCTTGATGGCACATAACAACAATAATTTGTTCAAAGACTCTGGATCCATAAAGTCTGGAACTTTAGCGTCATAGTTAATTCCTGAAAGAACTTTTGTCTTCATCTGTACTTGATGCACTAGTTTCAGTGGTTAAAAATTGTTATTCATTCGTTAGTGTGACATTTAGAAATTACAGATTCAGTTGGTTCTAAAGTCAAAGTGCAGCAATTCTCTGTTTCGTGAATAACTAAGGTGGCTTAGTGGTAAGGCATTGGATTGCCGACACAAAGGTATATGATTTGAATCAATCAGCTGCTCTGTGAGAGAAAGATGGGCAGTCTCCTGTGTATTTACTGCCTCTGAAAGTCCACCTGAGTGTCAGCTAAGGCTTGGTTCTGACTTGACATTATACAGTAACCATAATAGACAAAACAGAAAGTTACTCTTTGTACAGACCTTATCTCTCCGTTAATGCCTTTAGGATTATAGAATACTAGCTGGGCAGTTTTGAAAGAATAGAGTTCTTGGTCTCAGCCATTTCTATGTTCTGTGTGGTGGTATATATATCTGTTTCATGTGAACAATAAGTGTGCAAAGATGTCATGACATTAAAATATGTCTGAAGTTTACAAGTTTGCCCTGTAGTTTAGCATTGGTGATAGAATGCAAAATGTGTGGCGCTCACCAAGACGTCAGCAGTCCGAATTCAAGAGCCACCTACCTCTTGTTGGAAAGATTTCTTCCCAGGAGGATTGATCGCCTTGAAAACTTGAGAGGATCATTATGATCTGGAACCGACTTGAAGGCAGTGGGTTAAGTTTGGTTTTGGGTTAAATAAATACTGTTCAATAGAGAAGGGAGCGAGGGCCTAGTGGGTAAGGAGGTGTGTTGCCAACCCAAAGGCGGGAGTTTCCAGTCCACCAGCTGCTCTCTGGGAGAAAGGTCGGCACCTCCTGTGCAGTTGACAGCCTCTGAAAACCTGCTGGAG